CCGGCGCCGGGGCCGCTCCGCCACCGACCGCCGGTTTCCTGCGCGGCTCGGGGGGAGCGGCCCCGCCGGCGCCACCGCCCCCCGGGCCGCCCCCGCGCCGCCGGCCGGCTGGCCAGCCATGCATCCATGCCTGCATCCCTCCGTGATCCATCCATCCCTGCATCCGTTCATCCATCCCTGCATCCGTTCATCCATCCCTCCTTGATCCATCCCTCCATGATCCATCCATCCATCCATCCATCCATCCATCCATCCATCCATCCATCCATCCATCCATCCATCCATCCATCCATCCATCCATCCATCCTTCATCATCCATCCATCATTCATCATCCATCCATCATCCATCCATCCATCCCTCCTTGATCCCCTCCATCCCTCTGTCTGTCCCTCCCTCCCTGCCCTGCACGCAGGGGTGCAGGCAGGGCTGAGTGTCCTTCCCAGGGCCGAGGTGCAGGCACAGCCATGGGAAGCAGGGTCTGCCCCTGGGCTTTGTGCTCTCACAGAGTTTTTTGCCATCTGGACGGGAGAATGGCTCAGGTCCCTTCAGTTTTGGGGAGGCACAGGCTGCCAAACCTTCCCAGAGTGAGCTGCCAGATGTGAACAGGGCTCTCCCCCCACATTTGTTCTTGTCAGTTCTGGGCAGGCACAGCTCGTGCTGTGTGGAGCCCTGGCAGGATTGCAGTCTGTCCTGGTGAGACTCATTCCCCCCGGGGTTCCCTCTGCTCCAAACCCCACCCTGCATTCTCCATCTCTGCTTCCAGCCCTCAGCCAGGGCTGTGGGCAGTGGGCTCCAGCCAGAGGGAGGGGAGAACAGCTCTGAAATCCTTACTGATCAACCAAAATGCCTCAGATGAGTGAAGCCCAGCGTCACATGTCCAGGATAACAGTGGAAGGACATACCAAACCCTGGCTTGTTTCCCTTGTCAGGCACAGCGTGACCCTTGCTGTGTGCTCCGTTCTCAGTGCTCCTCTGAAAGGGAGCTAGGGCTGGAGGCTGGCTGCTCCTCATCCTCTTTTCCCATGGTTTCTTGCACAGGGTTTCTGTTTGAAAGGTGGCCCTTAGGGGGTTCAGGTAGAGCAGACCAATTTCCCCAGAGCTGTTGTGACGTGGCCACATTGAAACAAACCGAAACAAAAAGAGCAATAAATGAATGTTGGGCTTTGCCCCGTGTGCCTCCCATGCACAGGCACAGGGTGTGGGGCTGACAGGGGGATTCATTTGCTTGCTGGGGCCGTGTTCTGCTCTTGGTTTGGTTTCTGTGTGATTCCTTTTCTTTGCTGCTTTTTGCTTTTCGTCATCGCGGTTGTTGTTTTCCTTTGCTGCCCTGAGGTTCAGGCGCCAGTCCAAGACTTTGTGAGGGACGGAGAGAGGAACTATCATCTGCTGCTGACTTCAAAAATGCCACTAATGAGCAAAGTCTGGTGTTCAGCCTGAGGTTTCTGGGCAGTGTTCTGGGTGGCAGGCAGCTCTGTGTGACCCCGGAGGGTGGCTTTGTGTCACTCGTGGTGCTCCGTTCTGCCCTTCCCTGGCGCTCCCCTCCTGGCTGCTCCACGGTTTCCTTGGAGAGCCAGGAGCAGAGCAGCTCCAGGGCAAGGAAGGGAGATCCTGAGCGTGCTGGGATCCAAACCCAGAGGCTTTCACCAAAAGGGGAATCTCCCACACCAGGCACGAGGCTTCCAGGAGAGCTTTCCTGTGGCGAGAGGACTTTGCCTGCTGGAGAATTGCCTTGGCTGCCTGCAGAAGCAGGATTAATTCTGAAATTTCACTGGTAACTGAATAGATTAGATTTAGGTTCCTTTCTGAGCTGCTGTGGGTTAGGGATGGGAGCTGGAGAATGCTGGGGTTTGTGTGCAGGGGACTGTTTTCATAACTTTGCCTTTGTGTCCCTGGGGGCTGCCTCATGAATGTGGAAAAAGCCCCTCTGTAAAGCAGACTTATAAACCTCCAAATCCCCCCAAGGACTTTGGCACAGTCTGTTGATTTTTATTTGTGGTTTCATGCTGATTTGGCTTGTTGCTTTTAATCCAGCACATTTTAGTTCAGGTTAGTGTTTGTTGGAGGTTTTGGAGATGGATGGGCTTTTTTTGTTTGTTTGTTTGCAGGTTTTTTTTTTTTGGTTCTGTTTTGATAAAGTCCTTGGCCCAGGTGGATTTTAACC